TGGGCCGGCTGTCCCCACAGCACCAGCCTCAGACCCTGTCTGCACAAACCCTGTCATTAGCACATCTCTGGTAAACAGAACACAAGAGGAGTATGATGGTTGGCAAGATGTTGCCATGCCTATAGAGAGATGGCTTTTTAGGGCCAAAGGCAGCGTTCTGGAAGTAGGAAGAAATTAGCAGCGGCAGAACTGATGGCCAACAGAGGGGGCAGCTGCCTGTAGGTTTCAGCTAAGTTATTTATCAGGGCATTAAAGGGGAGGGTGCACTTGGCACTACTCCCCACACAGGCCTCGCTACGTTGCCTACCTTGACGAGAAGATAAATCCTGATGTAGCCTGGAAAGCCTTGTAAGTCGGGATCCCCAAACACGACTTCCTGCTGTCGTATAAAGCGCCTGCTTCTATCTGATCATGTGAGCACTTTCCCGTCAGCAGGGCGACGGTCTTTCCCCTCCTGCTCGGTCTGTGGTCTTCCCTTGGCCGTGAGCCCACAGTGCCCCTGTCAATGGCTGGACAGAGCTGCTGTCTGCTCGAGGCCCCGTGGAAACCGTGTCCACCAAGCCTGTGGTCACAAGCGGCAGAGTTTGAGGCAATGTGCAAACAGACCTCCAGTGCCGTTGGGGAGGCATAAAGCAGAAATCGGGGAGGGGGAAGGGAGAAGCCCCCCCCCCCCATTCCAGACTTGGCTGTAGAGGAATCGTGTGTTTTGTAGCATTTCTTGGGGCTGACTTTGCCTGGTTCGTAACCACTGTGGCCTACTGAGTCCCCCTTCAGAGGCTGCTGAGAATACTTGTCGAAAGCATCCTCATTTGATGTGGGATCTGACACTTCCTGTTCCGGCCCCATGGCATAACACTTCCTGTTATGGTCCCGTGGGACCCTGGGGTCCCGCGGTGCTTGCTGGGAGGTGTGTGTGTGTTGCGGGGGTGGGGTGGGGTGGGGAGAGCTTTGTTCTAGAAGGCATGGGTGGGGAAGCTCGTGTCTTCCTGTGGCTCTGTCCTGTGTGTCAGGAGGCCGGCAGCATAGCAGTGGGTTTTGTTGGGGACTACTGGGTGCCTGCGAAGGTGTGGGCAGGGGCTGTCCAGACTCGGGCCCCTCCTGCCTTCTTGTTGCCAGGGTGCCACTCAGCAGTAGTGCTGCCATCGACATCACCTTACACTGAATTGTGGTAGGAAATCTGGGGTCTCCAGGACAGAGCACAGCCAGATGCCCTGTGGGCTGTGCCCCATTTTACAGCTGAGTAAACTGAGGCCTGCCAAAGCCACAAGGCTCAAGAACCCCAGGACAGTGACACTCAGAATGAGACTCGCAGCTGGGATCCCTGTGGGAAGACATTTCGCATCATCTCCAGGCAGTGCAGCGACCTCGGGTTTTAGGAGAGAAGTGTGTACAAACTCAAGGCGGGAAGATCATGCAGTTGGGGTCACTTGCCCTTGAGTCTCCTCCAAAATGGGTTTGCTGGTTCTCATGCTGGGTGCCCAGGGCTCAGGGGATCACAGAGACAGTGAGAGGCTGAGCAGTGCTCAGGGCTGCGCTCGGGGCTGCACACCTGCAGGGGGCAGTGCTGAGAGCACACAGGTGCTTTCTCATCATGAGGGCAGCACGGGCCGTGACGCTCAGCCCGTGGAAAGGAAGGCTGGTCTCCACGCTGGCATCTCCCGGAGCTCTGGCTGTGCGTGCCGGAGGTGATGGCGGTGAGCGGGTCTCCCTCAGAATTACAGGGCTGCCAGGTCTCTGAGACGCTCCGTACAGTGTGTAGAGAAAATGTGCAGCACCAGAGAGAAACGCTGGGTTTTGGTAAATGCCAGTCCCATCCGGTCAGGGCCCTTGGCAGATGTGGTTTATACTTGACATTTGATAGAAGTGAACCAATAAACCTCAAGTCCTGCTGTTCAGATCTGTGGTAGGTGACTGCTCCTCTGGCTGATAAGGACTTTCCATGAATTTAGAAACTTTGCAGTCACACGTAGGATTTGCTCCTCCACTTTGTGAGTAAGGACCATGGCACAAACATGACGCAAGCCCTCAAGGAGCTGGCCATCGGCTTGGGGGACTGAGAGTAACCTGCGAAAGAATCCATGTGCAGTTGAAGCCCTGAGTATCAGACAGCCTCCACACTTGGTAGAAGGTTTTGGAGAACTGGATGATTGGTCACACAGCCAGGGCACTCGGCTGAGGAGCAAGGAGAAGCCCCTATGGAGAAGCCCCTGAGAGCTGGGGAGAATTTAATGCAGCCGTCTCCCTTTTAGCTCCTGGGGGCTACATCCTGAGACCCTCAGGAGATGCCTCAAACCTTGGATGCTTCTGAACCCTATATGTACTATGTATCTTTTTTTTTTTTTTTTTTTGACAGGCAGAGTGGACAGTGAGAGAGAGAGACAGAGAGAAAGGTCTTCCTTTGCCGTTGGTTCACCCTCCAATGGCCGCCGCGGCCAGCGCGCTGCGGCCGGCGCACTGCGCTGATCCGATGGCAGGAGCCAGGAGCCAGGTGCTTTTCCTGGTCTCCCATGGGGTGCAGGGCCCAAGCACCTGGGCCATCCTCCACTGCACTCCCTGGCCACAGCAGAGGGCTGGCCTGGAAGAGGGGCAACCGGGACAGAATCCGGCACCCCAACCGGGACTAGAACCCGGTGTGCCGGCGCCGCTAGGCGGAGGATTAGCCTAGTGAGCCGCGGCGCCGGCCTGTACTATGTATTCTTCTACACATCCGTCCTCTGACAGGGCTTCGATTATAAATCAGGCACACTCATAAATGACCAGTGGTATCTAATAAAGTAGAACAACTAGGACAGTGTACTTTAATAACAGTTACTTAAGAGTCTTGGAGAGTTTACTTCTGGAATTTTCCGTTGAGTGTTTTCTGACTGTGATTGACGTCTGGTAACTGAAACCGTGGGAGGCAAAACCACAGATAAAACCACACATAAAAGGGGACAGCTGTCGTCACAAGCGAGGGGACAGAAAGGTTGACTTGACTAAGACACAGAGGCAGAAGTAGCCGTTGACTGGCTCCCGTGGGCCAACAACCTCGTGCCAACAGCAGCTTCCAATGAGGACAATGGGAAAAGGGCTCAGCTGAGAGACTTCAGAAAGGTGGTCCTGGGAGCCAGAAAGGTACTTTCAGCATGGCTTGAGGAGCCAGTGCTGTGGCTCACTTGGTTAATCCTCCACCTGCGGCGTCAGCATCCCATATGGGCACCGGGTTCTAGTCCCAGTTGCTCCTCTTCCAGGACAGCTCTCTGCTGTGGCCCGGGAGTGCAGTGGAGGATGGCCCGGGTGCTTGGGCCCCTGCACCCACATGGGAGACCAGGAGGAAGCTCCTGGCTTCGGATCGGTGCAGCTCCGGCTGTAGCAGCCATTTGGGGGTGAACCAACGGAGGGAAGACCTTTCTCTCTGTCTCTCTCTCACTGTCTAACTCTGTCATATAAAAAAAAGAAACACCTTGGCTTGAGCCAGGAGATAACAGGCTCTGCTGGGTGACTAAGCTGTGGACGTGCTCCCAAGGATAATTCCCCCAGATTACACCTGCAGGAGACCCGGATGTAGGAAACTGCTCAGCTCTGCCCTGTGGCGGTATGAACTTGAGCTATGACAGGTGCAGCTGAGCTGAGAAAGGCAGGGGGGCACGAAGGCGTTTTCCAGGAGTTTCAGCAGCGTCTGGTATCTGTCTGGGTGTTTCTGGCCTGAAGGTCCATAAACCTGGAACCTGGTTTTCCCTTCCGAGCTGGAGCTGAGCCCAGGCGGATCTCACTGAGCTCTGAGTGATGCTGAGACTCATCCAGCAATGACGCCCGGATGATCCTTGTGCTGGTTTGCAAAGGCGTTACAAGTTCACACTTGCAGAAGGTTTTCACACCACGCTAGCTGTCTAGGAAAGCCTGTTGGAAACTCCCAGGAAGAGGACCAGAAATGGAGGTGTCATTCGCAAAGACGATATTTGAATATACAAATGCGGGCGAGGCTTGAGGAGGATGACTTAGGTCTAACAACGGGCAGCCCCCGAGGGAGGTGTAGGTAGCGGACATGCAGACAGCGTGCCTGGTGCTTGGAGGAGGGAGGGAACCAGGAGATGGGAGGTGGGGGTGGACTGTTGTCATGGTAATTCCACCCCCACTGACTGTGCTCCCACCCTCAGGTGTTAGGGTGGCAGTGGGGATGTTGATTTCTGGGTTACGTGGCACCTACTGGGCAGAGTGAAAAAGCTTGTGAGAAACAGTCAACCTTCTTGGTGCCTTCTCACACCTCAAGTCAGTCCTGTCTCCGTTTCTTGTCTGGTGGGGGGATTTACCCTTAGGAGTTATTTAAGGAGGTTTGTGCCATGAAGAGCTATTATTATTGCTGTCTATGGCAATATGAATGGACCTGAATTCCTGACCGAGATTGCCACACATAACAGTATCCAGTTCCTAAAGCATGAAGGTATTCAGATGAATTAAATAGCTAAAAAAAAAAAGTGATCTCTTTAAAAAAATCACATTCAACCTGGTATTTGAAAAGCTTCAGACAATTTTGATAATTCATATCTAGCAATTCTCTGCCAGTCATATTTTTTTAACTGAATAGTTCTTAATGACTTTGGTGGTTTTTGAAACAGTTGCTGTCAAGAGAATTTTAAAAAATATTAGTCTCTTTCCTTCTGTTCTTGCTCCCTTGGGAACCAAACACTAAAATCTGTTTCCGTAACAATTTTTCCTTTTTTCTTGGGAAGATTGTCTACTTGCTGTATTTGGGTTACTAGGGTTGTTTTGATTTTTTTTTTTTATGGTAAGAGCCAATCACACCGCAGTGTGTGTTTTAGAAAAGCAGAACCTTTCAGAAGGGGGGTACAGAAGCAAAGAGGCACAGTGTCAAGGAAAACCAACACCCAGTGGAAGTCGCCCCTCAGGGTGCCGGGTGTGCACATGCTTTTTAAACGCATCCATGTTTCCCATGTAGTTTGCAGAGGAACACGTGGTGTGTGGACTTTGCAATGAAATAATTTTTAAATGATCTCTTCCAGTGTTCTGGGATCCGCAGTGACCTTCAAGGTGAACGCCAATGTCCAAAATTTAACCACTACAGACGTCGCCAAGGCCACAGGTAAGGCTGATTCCACGCACGTGGTGCACGCATGCACACACGCACATGCAGTGTCAGGGCAGAGACGAGCGGTTCAGAGCGGCCCCGAAGAAAGTACGTATGCCCCTCACCCAGGCTGATGTCTAAAGCAGGGTGTAACTTTGGGGTCGGCTATCAGTACCTGGAACCTCATGGTTTGGAGAGGAACTGGGTTACAGGAGACCACAGCACCATGTTTGCGAGCAACAAGGCAAGCTTTAGGAAACACAAGGATTTAGTGTCTGAAAACCCCAAAGAGAACAGAACAAACGCAATTTGGCTTTGAGGTTTTTCCTTTGGTTGCAGACCAGAAGCACAAATGGCCTCTACTTCTATTTATCACAGAGACTTAGCACAGGATCTGGATGGTTTGAGTAAAAATGGAGTTGCTTCCAGATGGTTTTGCTGTTGAGAGTCTTGGTATTCCTAGGCACACATTGTGGCGACCTGTTTGTTCACAAAGCTTGGGTGGTTCTTGTTGTGTGGTTGGCATCATTGAATTTGAAAACAAAGCTCTACCAACTAGCATCTAGAAGAATGAAGGGGGTGGTGTTTATAATCTTCCAGTTTTCTTAAACCTGATGTTTCCTTTTGTTAACTTATTGAAAACTCTCAAGAAATGTATTGTACCATCATTCTGCATAGTAAGAAAAGCACCGGAAATAAAACAGAACCTTAGTACAGTTTTCAGTACTTTGGGGTGACTCAGCATTTTATAATAATTTCTTTTGTACTTTGCAATCATTTCTAAGAGACCTGGCTGAGTGCATGATCCCAGACATAGCAGAAAATGTCTCTTGTTCTAGCCAATCCTTTATATTGCTAAATAGATGGACTAGTTTTTACTAAAGTTTGTGTCCTTTTATTCCAATGTAAAATACAGTAACATATTCTTACTGATGCAGTTATTTGGATATTAAATTCTCACTAATTGAGGCTTCACTGGTCACTATCCAACAATGGTAAGCAAGGCTTCACATTACTGCTATATTCTGTTTAATGAAATCAGTTATTGGTCTTATCTATTTTGATTGGTATTGGTTTTACTTGTAGTTTATCTTCATGCCCTTAGTAACTGTAACTCGCTGAAGCTGGTGATGGGAGTAGGGGGAGGTTGCTGAGAATTTTTGGTTAAAAAGGAATTCTTTTCAAAGTTGTAGTAAACTCCAGGAATCTGACAGTTGCAGCTTTGTAGAGTGCTGAATGTCCTGGCTTCATTTTATCGCCCCATTTCAGGGAAAGGCGTGTGGCCAACAGGGCAGAGCAGTCAAGTGCGACTGCTACAGCAGTGCAGTATAATGTGGCTCCGGCAAAAGGAAGTGGGTGGAGTGGGTGGAGTGCCTTCTAAATATCTGCCCTGATAGGGGAGAAAGTTCCCCGTTAATGCTCCTGCCCTGGTAGGCTACAGGCTCTCGCCTTGCAATAGCATCTACTTTACTTGTACGAGTTCTTCAATCTCTGTGATTATTGAACATACTTAGGACCGAATCTGTTGCCAGGCTTTTATGCAAAAATACATAGAACAGTTGTTCCATAACTGGTGTTTCCTCCAGGGGTGAGAAGTAACACTTTTGAAATTGGATTTGCTGGAACTTAAGGAAGTTCTAGGGTAAAATAGAATGCAATGTAGTGTATAAACCTTTTTTTTTTAAATCATGACAATATACTCACAAATTATGATCTTTATTTTATTCTAACCTTTCTAGAGAAAATGAGGTTGATTATTGGAAATCTACTTACTTTGTCATTTCCAGTGTGTTCAAGTCATATACTAAAATGCTGTACTAAGAAGAAAATTACATATAAAAATGTGTGTTTGGGTCTCACGTCAACAATTTTTAAGTACTCAAATTTGCTCCTTTCACTAGTGTATTCCTGTTAACTGTTGTAGTTGTGCAAGCCAGAATATTTCTCACTTGTGTATATGCAAAATTGCTGCTATATGGACATGGTTTAAAATATCAGTGCTTTTTTATATTGAATAATTTTATGGTGTCAGGACCATGGCTGATACTAAATGGGAAAAGGATTATAAAAAACTTAGAGGTTGGCAGTAGCAATGACCTAGTGCAGTGGGTTGCTAGCGTGTCTGGGGAGAATGTTGGTTTCACAAAGAGAAGTGATTTCCCACTGAGTTCCAAGATCCGGGTGAGATATGGATATGTTCACATGCAAACAAGGAAGAATTCTTCACTCCAAAGCAACTTCTCATGGTTTCTAGTGTTAAAAGATAGTGGGGAATCATTGCAAGAAGCCCGGTGTTATTGTTGGGTAGAGAAGCAATTTGGAAAGATGTTGGTGACGTTGCCACATATGTCTCCACCATCCAAAACTTAATAGAATCGTCTTTTGAAGTTACTGGGGATATTATGGGCTGCCTACATTTATGCTGCCTACAAATCCCATGAATGCATTTGGTTCCTTAAGGGGCTTTGTGACGCTTCGCTATGGAGATCTTCTGTTATTATCAATCAGAGGAGATGTGGCTCTGGCAGTAGAATTTAAATGGTATTTATTTTGCTCATTTTATACAAAATGATATAAAGCTTAATGAATAGCTAATATCACACTAGCCACACACTAGGACTTTGCACCGGATGACAAACGTAGCTGGCTTTCATAATTCAGAATCCTTTCCCTATTCTAGGAAATCATTTTCTAGGAATTCTGTCTAGTTTATGAACTTGGGTGTCAGCAACTATGAGCAATCAGTGAATATTGTACAGGAGGCACAGACGGCGGGGCAGAGTGTGTAGAAATGAGAGGTAGTTGCATTTGGTCTTTGTGGCTACATCATCCAGTCCAACTGGGCAGAACAGAAAAGTACTTTTCACCCTCCATTTCCTTGGTAGTTTATTTTCAGTGGTATATTTATAATGAATTGTTGCGTTTCTCCTTTCAAAGAAAATGGAATCAATCATCTTTTAGAGAAGCGTTTGCTCTTCCTCCCCTTCCCACTCTATAGAGATCCCCACTTAATAGGCTTTTGGGTTCCCCTTGATTTATTGCCAATAACTTCCTGGCATGCCTGCTGTGCCTCCTTCCTAGCCTGAGAGGGGCTATTTATTCAAACTTTTTCCTCTTCTGTCTCCGGAAAGGTTGCTGCTTTTGACACTGAGCACCTATCTGGGATGTGTTTGACTCATTAGCTCTCCGTGTGTCCTTTGCTGTTTGTCCCTCCCTCTCAATGCGACCTGTTTGTCCAGTGAAGTCTTACGGTCCATTCTTTCTCTGGCTTGTTAGAAAGATACCCTCTGTCAATTAAGACAGCACAGGGACTTCCTGAAACTCTTCTTGTATTCTTGAATCTGGCTGCTTTAAATTCTTAGTTTCACCTGTTGGACACATCCGTGAAGTTAGGAGGACTGTTCTCCCCTTGGCTACAATGTTTTTCTTGTGGCTTGCAGTTTGTGGTTTATAAAGTGAGTTGTGTACACAGAGGGAAATGCCTCATCTTCTGTCTCGTGGTTCCTCCCTTAAATACTCAATTGGTACCAGCTGGACGCCACAACCCAGTGCATCAAATCTGTGGGTTTAATCAGAGAACTCACGGCCCGAGGGTGCGCGTCCAACCCTCTGGTATCTGGGTGCAATAGACAAGTTGTGCCTCTTTTGAAAAGCGTCGTAGAATCGCTCCTTAGAAAGTAAAATGAGTGCTTCTGTAACACAGATTTACGATTCTGCTCGTCTTAACTGTTGATCCCAAATGAGCATCAGTGTTTTCAGCTCCAGTCTGCCTTGGCTTTGGTCCTCTCTTAATTAGCCCTAGGGTGATAAAACCTGGCAAAGGCTGGGACCCTGCCCTTGAGGTGGGCACAGAGTTTGCAGGGTTAGCGAGGATCACAGGAAGGCAAGAGAGTGAGGAGGTGCGGAGGAGGCACTAGAGGGGCCCAGGTGCAGAACCTGATGTGCCGGAGACGTACAGGCTGCTGGCCCCCGGGCTTCACAGTTGGGCAATATCATCTTTGGTATCCACTGAGCAGGGCTGAGATTTGAGTGTCCCTGAGCTGATTGGATCAGCACTCCCTTGGGTGACACAGAAAGGCTTGGCTGGTGGTCTGTCTCGAGAGCCTGTGCTGGGACTCCCAAAGCCAGGAGGCCGCAGGGTGTGTTAGGAACAGGAGCCTGCCCTTGGCATCAGTCCACACACATAGTAGGCTTCTCGTCTGGCTTCTCTCATGGCGCACACACACCTGTATACCTACCTGCCACTCTGGGATAGAGCTGTGCACCCAGCACCAGCCACTGGGCAGCCCCAAACCTGTAGCTGATCCTCACACGTCCACCGTGATTAGGAGTCTGGAGTAGGGGGCTAGAGTTGCAATGCAGGGGTTTAAAGCCCCTGCTTATGAGCCAGCGTCTCCTATCGGAGTGCCAGTTCGTGTCCTAGGCCCTCCACTTCCTATCCAGCTCCCTGCTAATGCACCCAGGAAGGCATTAGCCTTCCTAGCAATAGTTGATGGCTAAGTACTTGGTCCCCTGCCACCCGTGTGGCATACATGGATGGAGTTCCTGGGTCCTGACTTCAACCTGGTCCAGCCCATTTCTTGGGGTATCTGGGGAGTGAACCAGTGAATGGAAGATGCCTTCTCCTCCCATTCCTTCCACCCCCTCCTCTCCTCTCCCCTCTCCTCTCCCCCCTCCCCCCTCCCCTCCCCTGTGTAGCTCTGCCTTTCACATAAATACATGAATGAGTAAATTTGTATAAAGAAGAGAGAGACTAAAGATTAGAGAAACTGATGAATTGTGAATGTGGAAAGAAAGTTGCATTTTTTAAAATGGGGAATTAAGTGGACACGTGGAAATGCTTAGAAAGTCTATTTGCTAAGAAAATTATGCTCATTTACAGGTGAATGAGAAAACTGTTAAAAAATTAATAACAGCAAAATTCTACAAGGATCTGTTTTCTGAGAATAGAAAGCTTGCGAGTCGGAGAGGTTTTCAGGAAACTCGGGGCAGGGCAGCAGGTGATTCTACCATGG